TTTTTTTTTTTTTTTTTGAGAAAGGGTCTTGCTATGTAGTTCAGGCTGGCCTTAATTCACTATGTAGTGTAGGCTGGCCTTGAACTCATGGTGATACCTCTGCCTCAGCCTTCCAAGTGCTGGAATTAAAGACATGTGCTACCACACCTGGGTAAATGTCTGTTTTTATTTTATTTTTTATTTTTGGTACCGGGAATTGAACTCGATCGAGTCTTTGCGCTTGTGAAGCAGGCGGCGAAAGCACTGAGCTAAATCCCTGGCTCTATACTTCTTAATTTTTATTAGTATATGCTTATTGTACATAATGATTACATTCACCATGGAGAGCGGGTACATGTACACATCTTAATTCTTTTTAATTCCCCTTCCCGTCTCCTCCCTCCATATTTTGGTCCCCTTCCCATTTGCAAAAGATCCATCTCTGTTTCCTACTATCTATCTTTTATTTTGCTTTTTAAATTATTTATACTTTCGGTTTCTCATATAAGAGAAACCATGTGATATTTCAGTTTGTGTGTCTGATTTATTTCATGAAGATGCAAGCACAGAGCTGAGTGCAAAGCACATGAGACAGAACAGAATAAGCCCCTTCCATTAGCAAGGGCACATTTGGTTATATGAGGGACTCTTGCCAACTACACCGATGCTTGCTGCTCCCGTAGCAGGTGGGATAGCAGGCAGGAACAAGAATCAGTGTTTAGTGGGGGCCAGGCTACACTTCAAAAGTAGGCATTAGATTTCCCTGGTGATAGACGGAGTAGAAATCTATGCAGCCTGCAAAGCCATTGAACCAGCAAAGGCTCAGAACATCACTAAATTGGTTCTACACATGGACAGCATAGTTACTATAATGGGATTACAAGCTGGATCCTGAACTGGAAAAGAATGGGTAGAGAACAAGTACAGGTAAAGAAGTTATCAACACGGAGGACTGTGGAGTTGGAGAGGCTCACTCTGGGCATGGACATTCAGTGGATGCATATTCTGGGCCATCTGGGATTCATGGGCAATGAAGAAGCCAACAGATTGTCAAGAGGAGGTGCTAAGCAGTCTGAAGACTGAGAAAAGTCACTGAGGACTCGGAAATTTGAGTGGGTGGCTGTTGTTACTTTTACTCGAAAGTATAGGCAGTAAGGCCCCAGCATGGATGCTGCAGAAGATGGACAGACATAGCTTTCCAGCTGAGACTCCAAGGCCCCATGGTATCCTATGACACAGCTTGATAAAAAGTACTTAAATGAATCAGA